CAAGTCCTTGGCCTTGGCCTTGGCCTCGGGTTGCCGGTCCTTGGACACAACACTGGTGTGTATGCTTGCACGTGCACAATCGGGTCGATGACGGGAGGTTCTTCGCTTCAAAAGTCGATCTTCGGTCAAATATGTAGCAAGCTGACCCAAGTAGTAACTACTGCAGCTCGTGTGTGTGTGTGTGTGTGTGTGTGTGTGTGGGGGCGTGTGTGTGTGCGCGTGTGTGTGCGCGTGGTGTGTGTGTGTGTGTGTGTGTGTGTGTGTGTGTGTGTGTGCGCTCGCGCGCGCGCATGTGCGCGATGTGGCCCTTTGCAGTAACACAGTAAAAAAAAATTGGCTCTTAGTCGCTGACTGGTTGGCCACCCCTGGCCTAGATATTCTGTCCATAAAGGTTATGAACAGAATCGGCGACGAAGGGCAGCCTTGGCGGAGTCCAACCCTCACTGGAAATGATTCTGACCTACTGCCAGCAATGCGAACCAAACTTTGACATTTTCACAGTTTTAATCGATTTTACATATCACCTATCACAGAATTTTAATGTACACGTGGATGACATTTCGGACCCATTGTCCAGAGAATTCTTAAACTTTTTCAACTGTTTTGATTTTAAACAGCATGTCTCACAGCCGACTCACAACTGAGGACAAACCCTGGACCTGATCAGAACTTACGGCCTGTCAATTGATGTGACCTCTGTTGTTGACCTGACTGTGTCAAACCGTTACTGTGTACATTCTAACATCGCCAGTTTTAATCATAAAGAGACCCCGGTGAGAACAGTAAGGCAACACTACCTGACTTCTGAAGTGGCTGCAAAGTTTATCAAGATCTTAAAATGCACTCACATTGTTGATAATTTTAACAGAAACTTAAAATCAACACTAGATGCAGTGGCTCCACTTTTAATTAAAACTATCAAAATAAAGACTGTACTCTGGTGGAGAAATGATGTTGTTCAGAGGTCAAAAAGGCAATGCAGGAGTGCAGAGAGGAGGTGGAGAAAAAGTAAACTCACAGTTCACTATGACATATTATGTAGGCAACTCAAATCTTACAGTAAAACAGTGAATCAGGAAAGAACAGCCTTCTTTTCTAATCTCATCACAGTTAACCCCGGACTTTTTTTTCTCCACCTTTGAGCTTTTTACCAGCTCACATTCTAAAAAGTCCCCACAGACACCAACAAATGCTCTCTGTGAGGACTTTGCAATCCACTTCAGTTGTAAAATCGACAACATAAGGTCTTGTCTTTTAACTCTGAAGTTATTTTTAGCAGAGGAAACACTGGAGAGTTTTGCCCCAGGTAAATCCCACAACCTGCCTTTTAGATCCAATCCCCACATCACTTTTAAAGATATTTTATGGATTCTTTGAGGAACAGATTTTGAAAATAGTCAATTGCTCTCTTCGGACGGGTTTTTTCCCCTACTGCTTTTTATAACGGCGGTAGTGAAGCCCCTTCTGAAGAAGAGCTGTTTGGACCCCAGCGTTTTTAATCCTTTCAGGCCTGCATCCAACTTACCATTTTTAAGTAAGATTTTAGAGAAACCAGTTTTTGTCCAATTAAATTATTTTTTACATTAAACCCACACATTGTGTGAAGAACATGGGCGTCATTTTTGACCGAGCTTAGTTTTATTTCTCATCTTAGAAACATAACTATGATTGTTTTTTTATCATCTCAAGAATGTAGTCAGAGTGCGCCCGTTTCTCTCTCAGGCTAACAAGGAAGTGCTGATGCATGTTTTTATTCCCTGTCGCTTGGATTACTGCCTGCTCTCTGGTCTTCCTAAAAAGAGTATTCTAAGCCTGTATGAGTCTAGGGACTCCAAAACTCAACGAGTTTTGACAAGGACCAGAGGTTCTCTCATTTCATGGAAGAGTAGAAAAAAGCCAACTGTTGCACTATCTACCTGCAAGGCAGAGTACATGGCCTTAGCTTCAGCTATCCAGGAGTGTATGTATTTACATCAGCGATTCAAGGGTATGGATAAATACAACTATGCACCAACCAAGGTTTATGATGACAACCAAGCGGATATCGCATTAGCAAGAAATCCCGTTGACCGTCAAAGATATAAACATATTGATATTCAATATCACTTCATACGAGAGGCGGTGCAGCCCGGTGGCAAACCCTCCTTCGCGTTTTTTCACTTATCGAGTCCGTGTCCCAGTCCCCATTAACCGCGATAAGCGAGGGATCACTGCATATCCACTCCTTGCTTATGTACTCAGAAACAATACTTATTTCATAAGTATTTTAACGCATGACCTTACATCTCAGAAATATGTTGAAAATGTTTTGAAGTGTTTAAGTCTGTCATTACATGTGAGGAAAGTAGTATGTTTTGGATTGATACATACACACACAATCAGCTTTGCTAATAGTATACATGTAACAATGATTAGATGTTTTATAAATGTTCTCCAATACGTTAACATTCTAATTTTAACTGTTTGACATTTATGTAAACCAAAGGAGTGGAAAGGTACTCTAAGCAAGATTGCCTAATGCATGTTAGCCAACAAAAGATATGTTTTGGCAGTTTTTTCTAATAAACAGGAAAGCAAAAACCAGTTAGAACTGGCCAAAATTAAAAAAACAAAAAAGCCTTTTCTTGAAATTTGCCATCCAAAGTTTCTATCAGGAGATGCCTCAATTTTTTGAAGCTCTTTTAGCTTTTGGAATTCAGGAAGCTTCCTTCTCAGATCGAGCAAGAGTTGGGGCTGCATTATTAACAGATAACATTACATTTCTTATTTGCTTTCTGTGTGAGACTCAGAGTCGGTCGAAACATTTTGTTATATATTGGATGGAGTGATGGAGAAAGACGAACGTAATATCATCATGTTTTAAAGTTTCATTTCAGTATATGCTTGATTGACCTCGAATGATCTGTTCTCACAACTTGTACACAATGGAGCACAGAAAAAAGGAGGGGGTGAGCAGAGGTGACTTACTCGCGGATAGAGAGAGACACGACCGGAAGGGGGGTGGGGGGGGGGGCATGTGGGGCATGTCAGGCTGTTCGGCGTTGCGTGAAAGAAAAACATTGATGGTGTATATGAGGTTAAGTGGTTTCGCTCATGACGAGATTAAAAGGTTGGAGATACTTAACTTGGTTCAGAGTGATAGCGAGGTGAATATTTTAGTTTGTCTGTAGAGTTATGTCTGCGATGAGAATGTGTGCTTTATTGATCTTTACGTGTGTGTAGATAAGCGCGACTCTTGGGGCGTCTCATGTTTGTTTCGTTTTCTATCTTGCCCCGTGAAGAGAGTTTGTACGGCATCTAATGGGATTAAAAGGGAACTTCTTACCACCAGTTAATCTTAAATTCATCAACCGGCGCTACGTGTAGTATGTGTCATACTGATTAATAGAAAATGGATGAGGATAGGTGTAGAGACACACAGTTTTGGATACTTATCGAGGGTGAAAGGCAAGTGAAAACAATGATGGTGACGAGACGTAAATTGAAAAGGGAGTTTAGCATTTGAAGAAAGAAAAAAAAAACACGCAGGAGAGGTTGGGCACGGTGATGCTGCAAAGAGGTGGTCATCATGTGTTTCAGTCGACATTAGCCAGAACGTCGCAGGATGTTTAGAAGGTTGTTTGTAAGTCATAAACACACAGTGGTGGGGAGATGATAGTGAGTGGTCGTATGTGGGAGATTGTTAGGTTTCTGGAAGAAGGGTGAACATGCATGTGTGCAGTGAAGGCCTTGATTTGGGATGACTTGTGAGTGTTACATGTTTGTGGGTTTTTAATTATTTGTTTTATAAGTGCTCCTGTTACGCTGCTATTTGCTGTGAAATAAAGATTATAATACATTGTTTTGTAGATTACATCCACATGCTGCACATTTCTCTCGAAAACTGATAAGAACCATCACGACTGCTAATGTGAGAGAAATGATGGTCTTGTGCTATGAAATTATAGGGGTGTTCACACGGCCCACATTTGCTCCGGTGCTGCACCGATGTATTTTGTTGCGATATATCTTACACCGGAGCAAATTTTGTGGAGCGTTCACACGTACAAAGCCGCTGAGCGTGTTTGCGCCGGTGCAGCCTCGATGCAGCCCCACTTGCGTTCACACGGCAGTTTCTGCAGCGGTGCAAAACGATAGAAAACAAAGAGCTGTCGTGTTGGTTCTTTTTAAAACATACACTTTATTAATTTGTTAAACTCAAGCAACTACAGGCACATCCTTCTCCTTCTCGGTCCTCCGTGCCTTCTGCTCGAGAGGCGTTCAATGACCGCCCCCGAAAACGTAAATCAAAGATGACTTCAGTGACACTCAGAAAAGCAAACATATAATGCGCCAAACAGAAAATCAAGAGAGGCAATCACAAAATAAATTCTATGGGGGGGTTGTGAGCACACAACAGCGGAATAAACTACACAAACAACTCCGAGACAGAGCACAAAAGCAACGCATTCTAGCCGTATGTAATCAACTCTTCTCATGCGTAGCGAGGCTACTCCCCCCGCAAACGAGCATTTGCTCCGGAGCAAATTGTAGCGTTCACACGTACCATTTTACATCGGTGCTGCCCCGCAAACGAGCATTTGCTCCGGAGCAAAATTTTAAACCACCTCCCTGAGGTGGGTTAAATTGGCTCTGGAGTAAGCTGTTTTCAGGGACTACACCGGTGTAACTTTGCACGTGTGAATGCTCTACTGGGGTAGCCCCGGCCCAGCACCGGAGCAAATGCTGCCGTGTGAACACCCCTTATGTTAATTCGTTTTCAACTTTGCTGTCATTGAGTTGGGTTGTGCTTTCTAAATTTAGTTCAACACGAGAGCAAAATCTTCCATCTTATCGGTGTTTATGTTTAAGGGTCATGTGTGGGCAATTTGAAGTTGGCTTTGTTAATTTAGAATGACTGCATGTTTTAAGGTCAGCAGGCATTTTTGAAAACCATGCCCTCTGTGGTGTTTACCGAGGACAGGGAAAAAAAGAAAAATGCTCTCTACGCTTACTCGAATGATTCTGTTAGACAATGCATGGATAGACATTGGGTATATAAGCCACCTGGCAACCTTGAACAGTGCATGGGGCAAGCTCTGCATGTTGAAAGAGTGTTAGAGAGAGAAAAAAAGAGAAAGAATGAGCTGCTGGTGCACACTAACATGTTTTTGTCACCTACTAGACATTAATCTCACATGGCTATATTGTATTCTCGATCCAATTTAACGCTGAAAGATGCACAGTATTTAACCCTGTAACCTTATTACAGCTTCCTATTGGGTGTTTGTTTGTTTCTTTGTCTAACATTTAAACAGATGAGTATGTTGAAAGGAAGTTTTTGTATGTGCGTGTAAAGATTGAAAGAAGTAGCGGGAGTAAGTAGAGCGAACACAAGGATTGAAGAACAATTTGTAAGAATAAGGCAAGAGTTTGAAGAAAAAAAAAAGTGGACAATGCTAATTGAATGAATTAAGGTAAAATATACACCGCGTTTATTAACAGAGAGGCACTCTAATCACTGTGTGAGCTCTTCAGGGACCCTCCATGCAGTCGTAAACAGCATGGAAGGGGGCGAGTTGATAACATTGTGTTAGACAGTCCCTTGAATGGTCCCTACTTGTCACAATGGCTGCATTTGTCTGTTTGAAAGTGTTTACAATGTCAGCAGAACGAACTGAGAAATGAGACAAAACCAAACATGAACCCGATCTGACATTCGAATCAGAAGGGATCAGTGCGGCAGATGGAATGGTTGAAGGCACATCTCAACACCTCATTGTTGCGTTGCCCTTTTCCCCTTCACAAAAAAAAAAAAAAAAGGGAGGGGGAGGGGAATAAACTCACAGATGGCTAGTATGCCACACTAATATTTGAACCAGGTTATAGCGAATTCAGAGACAGTTGTCGCTTTAGATATCCAACAGAAAGGCAGATTTCTGATTTCATTTGGTAGTAGTTGACGATGGCGACCCATCGAAACAATTACACGTCCAAGAAACTCAAAAATTAGGAGAAAACAGAGAGCCCAGAGAGCTGGGAGCAGTTCTGAGGACACTAGAGAGGGCATAGTGGTTGGAGGTTAACACCTTCATTGATTCAGCCGATGTGGTTAGGACAATTTTTACAGATTTACAATTTTTAGAGGAAAAATGGGAGAATGCATGTTTTCCACCCTAACCACCCTCTTGCAGACCAGGAGAGGGCATCTCCTAAGGAGGAGAACTCCAGACGGAGTGGCCAGGAACGAGACTGGTTTGTATCGGCACAAGATTGATGGATGTCCAGTCCCGTCAACAAAAAAATTGGAGACTCCAATTTGGGAGGCATGTTTTTTTTTATTTTTTTATCTGCAATTCAAGGTAAGCTCAAATGAACAAATCCGAGGCTTAAATCAAAATTTTCTATGGTGGTGACCTTGAAAAAACTTAATTGGGATGAGGCGCTGCCAATTGCGCTGCAAACCATGAGGTCCACCATTAATTCGGCCACGGGTTTCACATCCTTTGGGGTGGAGCATGACCGGGAGTTCCCTGTTCCATGGTGATCCATCGATCCGGGCACTCTTCAACGTATGATTCCCCATTAAGCAGACATAGACTCATTGAGAGTTCTCATCCCTCATTTTCAGGAGCAGACGAGACCCTGATGTGAGCATCCCTGATGTGCTGGTCATGAAACCACAGACGTGGCCTGAGCAGACGTATATGAGACCCAACTTCAAAGTGACATTCGGAAGGACGACTGGACGTGAAACCAAGAAAACGTTATCAGGGAGCCCAGAACTAAGAACATCTTTCTGATTAAACTGGTCATTTTGGTCTCCAGTCCTTCACTGATGTAGGTAGGGATGGTGTCAAGTTCTACTGAAACTTTTATCTCTGGTTGTAGTTTGTTAGATAGGTTGCACCGAAGATTTTGCAATCACATAGGAAAATTTAGTCTCACTGTAAGAACTATTGGTACCACACTTCCACATGAACATCTGTTTAAAATCTTAAAACAAAGAATGTAGTGTGATGTTTGTATCTTCCTCTCCCTTGAGTGATTAACAGCGCCCGAGTATGTTCTTTTGCGACCCCCATCAAGACCCCCCGGGAAGGAACTTCTGTCTGGACTTTGCCATCATGCCAAGAACGAATTGCATCAACCTTCCTTTGTTTCAGTTTAATGTAAATGTAACTTTGAAATATATGATAAAGAGGTGGGAATGATGGAGTAAGACGAACTTAATATTGTCATGTTTTAAAGTTTCATTTCAGTATATGCTTGATTGACCTCGAACGGTATGTTCTCACAACTTGCACACAATGGAGCACACAGAAAAAAGGGCCAACTTGAACTGAATAAAACCAAGTCCTCATTAACTGATAATGTCGGCAGGAAGGTTCAACTTCGGGAGGGCAACATGATAAGATGTCTTCAGTTTGTTACAGTGTCTCAATTCATGCGAAATCTACCCATTGAAGTAACAAGGTACCCATTGTTTGTACCGAGAGATGTTTTGGCCTCTGAGGGGCGTATCGGTGGGCTGGGCTGAGAGGCATTACATGTAAATGAAGAAGGGAGTGTTTTTCCTGATATATCACTTGTAATTTGCATACACGATCAATAAAAAGCCAGCAGAGGCTGCAGAGGTCAGGTGTCAGTTGGTCAGCGCACACGGAGTGGCTTCGTAGAAAACTGTGCCTCCTGCCGACAGAAAAGACAATCTCTTCCTGAGTCTGTTTGTTCAACTGTCCGAGTGAACATCTCTGACACTGAGTTAAAACTTTTGCATTATAGACAGGTTAGGAGACATTCTGTTGTGGGTAACAAAATCAAATGCAGCAGCGGATCCAAAAGCGAATGGGAGACAGTTGGCAGAGGGTAAAGAGAGTGTTTAATGAAAGAGATCTGATGATCCAGCTCAGGACACAATGGTGGCTCGCAAACAAGAAGGTGAAGCTCCCGCTTAGTGTTGGAGAAGGGAAGAAGGATTGGCATGAAGGATTAGTGTAGAATCAAGTAGCCTGTGGACGAAAACGCGAAGCCAGGCTGGGCAGGGAAGCACTGCAAAAAACACAATCAAAATCAAATGGTAATGCACTGAAGTCCAAAATGGCAAGCGTGTGCACAATTAGTGGCTGAAATACCACTCATAATGCGTGAATCATCTAGCACATGCTTGCAGATCAGCAGAGGTCTTATACAAAGGAGGAGATTGCTAATCAGAGGCGGGTGTGGGAACACCCTGCGGCCCAGCCTGATAATTAAAGGAAAGAGACAAACAGAAGGGCCCCGGAATTCTCCAAAATAAATGAGCAAGTGAAAATAAATACACAGAAGGAAGAGTGTCTGTCACATCACACATACTCTTGTTTCGTGGAAGGGAGGGCCAGTCAAACAGTGAGTTTATCCTAGCCCAAATCTGTCCTAGTTTCATTGATTTATGAGCAATTTAGGTGAATTGATCACTTGTCTTATCCACCCAAAAGGATTATTTTGCTTTGAAGGATTTTTCGCCCTTTTTCTTTTGAGATACTGAGCATTGAAACCCTTTTCATCAGGATTTTTTTGACTTGATTGACTTTTTGAGGGATTTCAACTCTGACTTCATGTGAGTAGAATTATTTGAACCCAGAAATGTGATTCTGCAAGCAGCTTCCATTTCTGCAAATGGTTGTTCAAAATAGGAGTCAACTGAAGTAAGTCTGGACTGACGCTCATGGAGCTGTAGTAGTTAGAACCTTGAGGAATCTTTCTCAACACCTGCTTAAGGTATTTCCCTTCCCTTTAAATTCACGTTGCTGTGGAATAAGGAAAAGAGTAATTTTAACACTTTGAATGCAGACTCGGGTGGGACTATTTCAGTCCCTCGGTAAGCAAGATCTGACAGTACGTAAGATTAGGGTATTCGTCCATCCATCCATCCATCTTCTGCCGCTTATCCAAGGTCGGGTCGCGGAAGCAGCAGCTTCAGCAGGGAAGCCTAGAAATCCTTCTCCTCAGCCACGTCTTCTAACTCAGGGGTCCCCAACCGCCGGTCCGCGGACCGGTACCGGTCCGCCGGGCATTTGGTACCGGGCCGCACAGAAAGAACTTGCCTTAATTCCGTTTTATTTATTTCGGAATACGAAAGATGTTTTATTTTGAAAACTTACCGGATTCTCCGTTACATCCGTCTGTGTCCAGCTTGACACACGTCAAGCCACGCTTCTCCGTAACGCGACCAATTAGGCTAAAAACAAACACCGGAGCTCGCAAAATGAGTAAAAAAACTGCTGGAGATCGCAAATGACGGCGGCCTTAAAAGTACGTTCGAGACAACTGGATTAAAGTTATGTCTGAATACTCTGAGATCGCCACAATAGCACTTTTGCTATTTCCGACATCCTACCTGTGTGAGGCGGGGGGGATTATGCAGCAACGGCGACGAAAACAAAATTACGAAGTAGACTGGACATAAACCACACACTTGCGGTGTCATTGTCTCTCCTATTACCCCGAGATGGGACCGTCTGGTTGCAGAAAATCAAGCTCGGTGCTGTGGTGAGTCGTCATTTTCATGCACTTTGAATTTGCGTTGTGTCGTATTTTGAAGGCATTAAACATTGCCATAGCGTTGCGGCCAGATTAGACGCTCCTTGTGTTTATTATTATATTTCGAAAACACCACAGTTTTCATGCAGCTCATACCATATTATTTTGTTGTATTATTTCTGCCACACCTTAAATGCCGGTCCCTGAAAATATTGTCTGACATAAACCGGTCCGTGGGGCAAAAAAGGTTGGGGACCCCTGTTCTAACTCATCTGGAGGGATCCCAAGGCATTTCCAGGCCAGCTGGTAGACATTGTGTCTCCAGCGTGTCCTGTCTTGTCCTTGGGCCCTCCTGCCAGTGGGATATGCCCGGAATACCTCATCAAGGAGGCGTCCAGGAGGCATTCTAATCAGATGCTCGAGCCACCTCATCTGGCTCCTCTCAATGTCAAGGAGTAGCGGTTTGACTCTGAGTCACTCCCAGATGACCGAGCTTCTCACCTACTCCCTAAGGGAGAACCCGGACACCCTGTGGAGGAAATTCATTTCAGCTGCCTGTGTTCGGGATTTTATACTTGGTTCATGACCCATAGCTTGTGACCATAGGTAGGAACTAGAGCTGTCACACGATTAAAATATTTAATCGTGATTAAAAATGCAACCGTCATAATTAACTCAAAATAACTCATAATTAATTGTGATTACTCACACATTTTTTATCGTTTCTAAATTTCCTTTTATTTTTTATTTTTGTCCTATTTTTTCCCATTTTAATGCTCTCACCAACAGGGAGTCATGGATCAGTTTTCTATGTGCAAAATGCAAATATTTACTGAAACAACAATTTCGATTTTCAATTTTACATGAACATTTTTCACTTGGAGCAGTTATTCACACAATCTCTCACACAATATTAATGTCCATCAACAACAGTGAAAAAAATATTTTGTCACACAACAGCTCCTTTAACAGCTCTTTTTAGGGAATCAAAACAGAGCAATATAAAATTATAAAGTGCACATCTAAGGTAAACTAGTACTCAGCCTAAAGTGGATTTAAGCCATGGTTGCACACTTGGTTTTTCTCAAGTTTGCTTTGAACACAGCAGTCAGGCTGTGTTGATTCTGATGGTCCTTTGTAGTGTTGGGCCCTAGCCGGACCCTCGCCTCCTTCTGGAGGCACGGGGCGCTCAGAGTGGCGTCACGCCTCTCTCGGGGGTTGGCGGCAGGCAGGAGGGCCGACACAGACGTTTCCCAGTTGAGCCGCAGACCAAGGGACACACCAGATGTATCAGAGTCCT